GAACTGCACATTATATTCTTGATTTTTATATAGATTTATTTACACTTTATACAATTTGATTTGATAATAAAAAAAAAAAAAAAAGAATATGGTCTGTTGTATTTTCTTGGGGGTAGCATTTCACTGGTGGACTCCCGCACATGCAATACAGACAGGCAAACAACCTTCTGAGTGGAGGCCTGGGTCCCTAAATGGCCTAGGTACATCTACTGCTAGAATTACAAACTGTGACCCTGGCTTCCTTCCAGTTCACTACTGTCTCCGTCCCTTTCCAAGCCCTGCTGATGCCTCTTCAAAATCATACTGTGCTTTCCATGCCATTTGCACAAAAAAAAGAGGTCATCTTCACAGCCTTTCTTTTAGCATAGGCTGTGCAGTTTCCTCACAGGAAACAGGATGACCTCCTAGTTGCTCTGAATGGTTGCTAGATCTGGACAATTCTCCCTCCCTGAGGTCCTGAGCTTCTGTCTGTTGCTGAGAGGGATGGTCTGTCTACCTTCCATACCTTAAGAGGTGGAATGCCACAGCAAAATGGACCAGTGTCTGCCAAACCCCAGGACAGGGCAATCATGCCTTCCCTGCTTCCCGGGCAAAGTGTCACCTGAGAAACTTGAAAGCCTCTACCAGAGAGGATGGGAGAAGGTGATGAAAATGGCTCACTTTGCAGAGAAGTACTAGTCTACATACGGATTCTGTCTGATGTCACAAGGGCTATATAGACCTGGGACAAAGTCATGGCCCCAAGAAGGCTAGTGCAGGACCTCTAAGAGTCATCTTGCAGCTCTGTCAGTCAGAGAAGGTGTTGACATTTTCCCCAGTCAAGATCTAGTGGAAAGGAGGAGGGAAATTCAACCAATCTGTACTCACAACACTTGTGTCCTGCTTTCTGAGGCACTGGACATATGCATTTCATAGGATAACATCTACTCCCATAAAGTAAATAAACAAACATCAGGGCACTGTCCATTGTAGGACTAATTCTTAGCCTAGTTTTTGACTAATTTCTGAGATTGATAAGTATTTTGGASAAGGGGAATTGTTATACACAGCAAGCCAGCCAGGTTTTAGATTCCTAGCCACTAGCACTAAGCTGACCTTCCTCAGGGAACACAGCACAAAACAGAKACACGCCACAATCTTTGTTGAACTCACATCTGGGTGGCATTTCTCAAATAGAAAATAAACATAGGAGACAGACTTCATCACAGGAAGGACTGTGCAAGATAGTAACTAGGAAGAAACAGTCCAAAGAACCCAAGGGGTGCCAGCAGGAGAGGACATGCTKAAAAGCGACGAAGGCATGAGTACTTGACTGGAAGGAGTAGATTCATTTCCTATTGTAMAATTAATTCCCATATGAACAGAGAAGAATGTGTTAAAATTCCAGAAGTGTGTGTATTCCTAGGACAGTGTTGTCTTGACAGGGAGACACATCTCAGAGAAAGCTTCTAGTGAGCACATGAGCTGACCAGCCCGCAAGAGCACAAGGTAGGAGCAGGGCAACTTTGTTCTTTGAGAAGACACCTCTTACAAGCAGCAGTGCCTGGCTACCATCTCCAAAGCCACATTTTCTCTGTGTGAAATACAGTAAGATCCAGAAGACAAAGGTACAACTGATTGTCTTGCATCTCTTGCAGAGCTCCTGTCATGCTCAATCTATACACAGAACCTCTCCTTTGGGAAAACATCTGCTATTGCCACACTTCAAGTCCAACACTCCTTACCCATCCTAGATGATGACAGAGACAGCCAAGGAAAAGAGATGGAAATCACTCTTCTGGGGAAATAAAACTTAGACACATCAAAAGAATAGCAGATATCTGGCTAGGACAACTATGGGCTCAATGAGAAAAGGAGAAGAGGATCCATACAGTCTTTCCTGCTGTGTCTCCTAGCACTCTCCCTGCTGTCCTCTGAGAAGGCGGGTGCAGTATTTGGGGGTCCAAAGGCACTAGAGAACACTCAGCACAAGGCTGAGCCCAGGCTCCCCAGCCCAATGCTGCTGTACCCTCTAGAATAGGAGGTGTCTTTCCCTTCAGAGGAAGAGTTCCCAGAACATGACCTCTCATTACAAGCATTTGTAATCGAGCTATGCAATGTCTGCTTCCATCTAGTGGTGCAGCTCTGCAAACTCTGCACTGGCTCCACACATTTTTGTAATGTGGATTCTATCTGCTCACAASCCCAGTTCCAAGAATACATGTCACCATTAAGGGAAATCTGGGACAAGGACATTGCTAGCAAGAACAGATGCCTCTTTCTCATTCACTTCAGTGAATTCAGTGCAGATTCTGCATTCAGTGCAGATTTTTATATGATATCTTAGTATAAACCTGAGGAACAATAAGGTTATTTCAATTATTTGTTGTTGAAATTATTATTTCAGTTATTTAAATTGAATATTTGGAAGGTATTATGTCTCCTTCCTTGCTAAAGGAGAAGAAATGGGTAATTAAATACCATTTTGTGTAGATAGGGCTTTGAGTTTTTGCTTGGCTGCAGTACTGCCCTGTTAAATAATAATAATAATAATAATAATAATAATAATAATAATAATAATAATAATAATAATAATAATAATAATAATAATAGGTTTTAGCACAGGTTTGCTATTCCAAATGACCATCAAACAAACTCTGCCTTGAAACAGAGAAGTAGTAACATTTAATGAAGCTCCTTTTAAATGAGTTGACTGGCAATGAGACAGTCATCCAGGTACCTTGAGCCTGCTCTGTCAAATGTAGAGTAAAACTGTGAGACCATGAAGGTGATGTGATCAGAATTCTATACAAGAGGTGAGCAGGATCTGTAGGCAGAAACTAGTAGGTGAGTAGGATCTGTAGGCAGAAACTAGTCGTAATTAGTTAAAAATTACTTTTAATTCAAACTACATCAGTAATCCTATCTAAGTAGAACTGCAATCTGCTGCTTAATCAAAGACTAAATTTTTCCAAGGAACAACCTAAAAAAAGAGCAGCAGCAGTGAAAATAAAATAAAGATTGAATACCATAAATGGAGACACTAAGAAATACATATTTGCTTCATGTTCTCAGCTTCAGGATGGTGGTGCTCCAACACACGAAGTGAATGTTAAGCCTCCTTCCAAAGTTTAAGCAGCTTTCAAATCTTTTCACTTTCTGTTTCTCCATGTGCTTGAGATCATGTCATGAAGAGTATACGTTTCCGGAACTTTTTTTYTTTTTTTATGAGATATYTAAGCACATAATATTTGTTTGATTTAATCCTTGATAAGATTTACAAGTCTCATATCAAATTTTTTGAAGACAGGTAGTAGAGGATTGATATTAGAAATTGTATTTAAAAAGGAGTTGGCGTTGAGCAGAAGAGCCAATTAATACAAACTCCTGTTCTAGACAGTATCTGTAATTAGTATATTTTCATTRCTGAATTCATTCTGACATTCATGGGTTTTTTTAATATTGCCATAGCTAATGCTAAACTGCATTTGCACAGAAAAATAGTGTATGGAATGATGTTTTATTTTGAGATTTGACTGTGTCAAGAAATCTGATTACAAGTATAGTGTTTAGTTGTTCATAAGTGCTAAGTAAAACTATAACTATGATGATTTTACTACTTATTTTTTCGCTGGCTGAGATATTGTATATTTTAAAACTCTTTGGAAAACTACTTAAACAACTGGTACAAGCACAACTTAATGTATTTATTTTCTTCAGACAATCTACTTTTGAGATAAGGAAATGAGATATAACATTTGCAATTCTCTGTTGAAGCAGGTGTAATYGTCATTTTGACTTATGTATAAGAAAAAAATCATCATATTGATGCTTCTTTTGTCCCAAACAAATAATAATTTTGGTGTTATATCCTACTGGGGAGACTTGGGAGAGAAGAGAGAAGCTAATAAAAAATCTAGTTATTCCCTCTATCTTCTAAAGAGATTGTTGATAGTTTAAATGGTTCAAATACTGAGAAAAAAAAAAAAAAAAAAAAAGAAAGAAAATAGTAAATACGAAATCTATACTTCATGGACTTTCTGACCCAAAGTTTACTTGAGGCAAAGGAATTACCACTCTATGCTTCTCCTATTTTTATCCTTTTGTCTAGGTCCCAACACTAAGCTGCATAAATGTTCTTTGGCCTGGTAGAGTAGTTTTTATATCTGATTCATTTTTACCATTTTTTACAGGATATATCCTTAAATTCACTTTTTCAGGTTTCTTTGTAATCAGTACACTAAGTGCCCTCTCCTGTGCTTCTTTTACAAGGCAGTTTTACCAAGCCTGCTCTTCCTACATTCACCTGGCTATTCAATAAGCAGCTGATCCTGGAGACTATCTCTAGGCATGTCAAGGTAAAGAAGGTGATCAGGAGTAGAGCATGGATTCACCAAGGGGAAGTCATGACTGACCAACTTGATAGCTTTCTACAATGGGATGACTCTCTAGATGGRTGATRGAAGAGCCATGGATGTTGTCTACCTTGACTTCAGCAAGGTTTTTGACACTGTCTCCCATAAAATCCTCATGGGGAAGCTCCGGAAGTGTGGACTGGACAGGTGTACAGTGAGATAGATTGAGAACTGGCTGGATGGAAGAGCTCAGAGGGTGGTGATAAATGGGGCCGAATCCAGTTGGAGGCCTGTGGCCAGTGGTGTCCCCCAGGGGTCAGTACTGGGTCCGGTGCTGTTCAACTTGTTCATCAGTGACTTGGACGAGGGCACTGAGTGCAATCTGAGCAAGTTTGCAGATGATACCAGCCTAGGTGGAGGGCTGTGCTGCCATTCAGAGGGACCTGGACAGGCTGGAGAGTTGGGCAGGGAGGAACCTCATAAGGTTCAACAAGGACAAGTGCAGGGTCCTGCACCTGGGGAGGAATAACCTCAGACACTAGTACAGTTTGGGGACTGACCTGCTGGAAAGAAGCCCCACAGAGAGGGACCTGGGCRTTATGGTGGACGACAAGTTGACTGTGAGTCAGCAGTGTGTCCTCGTGGCCAAGAAGGCCAATGGGATCCTGGCTGMATCAGGAGGAGTGTTGCCAGCAGGTGGAGGGAGGAGATCCTGCCCCTCTCCTCAGCTCTGGTGAGGCCACACCTGGAGTATTGGGTGCAGTTGCGGGCATTCTCCTCCTTCTTCCTCATTCATATCTAGGGCCATTTTTGCTCCTCAACTGAACAGCAAAAAAATGTATTTGTCTCTATTGGCTGCTATTCCTTAGGAGAGAGATAAGGCTTCTACCCCATGGTGCATTCAGATGCAGCAGAAGCCTGCCCTCCAGGAGCTGAGCCCCACTCGAGCTCTGCATAGGAGCCAGATTTGCACATGGCTCTCCTCTCTTTCCACTTTTGTTTTGCAATGAGGCTTAATTACTGTGTACATTGCATGAGGGCCAGTCTGGTAACAAGGGAATGWGATCTCCAGAGAATATTTTAATGACATCAGCATCAGAAATGCCAGGCTTAGTTATATATATTTAAACTGCTTCAGGTAAAAAGCTGACAGATACATAATGGGATAAGCCACAAAAGAATGAGCTATGCCCTGTCCCAGTATCATGCTGGCTCTCTCTCAATAGTGTTACCTGGAAATTTCACAATCTGAACACACTTTTCTCTATTTTTATAAAGTTATATCTTAGACTCTTCAACAAAACCTGTCTCCAACAGGATGTTCTTAGTGGTGCAATGCTTTCAGCTCAGCAGTGTCAATCTGTAGTAACACYATTGACGTCAATGGAATTATTTTGCATGCATTTATCAGAGTAAAAATGTTAGTAAAGGACTAGAGAAAATATTATCTGTTTTGATTAYTGCTACAACAGGAATCATCAGAAGCCAGAGAACTCCAGATAATCACTGCTTGTTGGAAAAGGCTGGGGAAAGTTATTTGGTGGGGGAGGAGAATTGTTAGTGCTTCCTGTCAGTTCTAAAAATAAAGTTCATGAACTAAAAACAAAAAGCAGAGATAAAAGCAACAGCTGATCAGGATACAGGAAGATATGGAAGACATGGAAAAGCAGAGAACGCTACAGCTGTTCAACTTGGACACAGGGAGGGATATGATAGAGGGCATACACTGAATGTCATGAAATATTCATTATTTCTTATAACACAAAAAGTAAAATGCTCCCAGTTAAATGATGAGGGAGATTTTAAATGAAGACCAAGGTATACTTCTTTGCACAGCAAATATCCCTGGTGGGGAATTCACTTAGATAGGGCACTATGTGGATCTAGTAGCACTTAGAGATATTTCAATAGGATAAGGGCTATTAAGCATGAAGATCTAGGAGCAAATGGCAGCCCACTGACTGGTAAAGGAAGGATCAGTGTAAATTTATCCATTTTTTTTAACATTGCTTTATGTAAAAGGAAGTGCACTTTGCAAAGCCAATAACTGTTAATGTAATTGAAATCTAAAAAGTCTAATCAAAGAGCTACTATTATTCCAGATTAAAATATTACAGAAAAAGAAAAAAAAAAAAGGGGGGGTGGAAATAAATAGTAATAAAAAAATAGACTCAATAATAACACAGTCAAAACGGTTATGCACTCACACATCCTCCTTCTTATCTCTTTCCCTGCTGTTGTGCTCCCCCTTGCTGGGCACCCTTGACCCTAAAGCTGCCGGCGTCACTTTGAGGGTAGAGTTACAGAAAGTCAGCAGTGCCAAAGGCTTTGCCAGGATGCTCAGGTGCTGACACTGACCGTTTCTTTCTCTTCATCTGGGGTTACTTTTATATTTTTGCTAACACATTTTCACATCTTGATACTTTTACATTGGTCTGTAACTATACATTACATCAAAAAGTACTCTGTATGGTGATTTAATTTACATTAGATTTGTGATCTTCGGTTTTGGTTACCGTCCAACATTGATTTTGCCCAGTTCCCAGGTGTACATTTCTTTAGCAGACAAATGGTGATCAGCAGCATTTAGCCGGGGGTCCAATGTTATCCTGTGCCATTTTCTTATCATGTTTGCATTCCTCTATGCTAAAACCTGTGATGCCCCTTTTGGACTTCTGCTATCAACCCTATCTATATGCGCCATCATGGTAGGGTCATAAATACTTCATGCTATAGAGACTAAGTATTTGTTAGTGCCAACTATATAAAATTAAGTACACTTTTACAAAAATAAGCTAAAGTAAAACCGATTAGGCAATAGCCACCTGGTCACTAGAAAAACATCCTGTTAGCTCAGCAAATTAAAACAAAGTTCCAGGCAGGCAGAAACAAGTTCAGACAACATCTGACAAGTCCTAGGGCTCTCCAGAATCAGTAGGAACATTATAAGCAACTACTAGCAGTGGTCATGTTGTGTGTAGACCTGACCACGGGTTAGACGGTCCTGACCCCAACGGCCAGTTTCATCTTGCAACCTCCCTTGAATACAGAAAGGAGAGAGTACAGAAAGACATAGAACTCCTGTGGCAGACAGCCTTGGGACATCAGCTAAGGACTAATCACAGAATCACAGAATGGTTGAGGTTGGAAGGGACCTCTAGAGATCATCTAGTCCAACCTCCCTGCTCCAGGAGGGACACCTACAGCATGTGGCACAGAGTGGCATCCAGATGAGTTTGGAAGATCTCCAGAGAAGGAGACTCCACAGCCTCTCTGGGCAGCCTGTTCCAAGGCTCTGTCACCCTCACAGGAAAAAAATTCTCCTCACATGGAGATGGAACTGCCTGTGTTTTAATTTATACCCGTAATTAGATTATAAGTAGTGCATATCTGCTTCTATTGACCAAATAAAATGTATTCCAACATTAGTAAAGAGGTAAGGTATGTGGATATCTTCTAGAAAAATGGCTTCTAAGTAGTTAGTATTTTCCACAGATGGTGCTTGAAGGAGATAAAATGAAACATTTGCCTCAATAACATTTCAGAAGACAGSAGGTGCAGCAGCACAGCAGGATACAGAGGGAGGAGATTTGGTGCTCCCTCTTTGACAATCCTGCTCCCCAAGTGTGTGTGCCCACATATCAAGCAAAGCCAGCAAAAATGAGGAAAAATATTCACAAACCTTCCTATGCAAAAAATATATTTCTATATCCACAAAACTAAATGAGTTTCCCACCACAGTTTTTCACAAATTCAGGCTTTCACCAGGAAGCTGTGGTTACAGTGCAGGCTCAGGTAGCAGACAGCACAAYAGGCTGCATGGGGGAGGATTCAGAGCCATGAGCTCCCACGTCCCCAAGAGCAAGGGAGGGCTGTGGCRTCAAAGAGACTCTCTGACTGCTGCTCAAACATCAGGATCAAGGAATGGTTTCTGTCCTTCAACAGCTCATTCACAGCCTCACTCTGCCAACACCACTTACATTCACTGCTGCTTCACAGTTGTAAAAAAACAGTGGGYCAGCTGCCTCCATGGTAGCAGGCATCCTAACAAGGCAACAGATTGCCTTCAGAAATGATAAGATACTGATAAATGTAATCCATCTCTGAACTCCAATGCCAGAGTAGATAAACTTAATAAAAATAGAAAGACAATAAAAGACRACAAACACTGATGAAGGAAACCGAGACAAGGAGACCGGGATAATGCAGAAGAGGCCAGCAATCCACAGGCTTCAGGCTTCAGTAWCCATGTAAGGTAAGCAAGAAAAAATGAGACCAACAAGTAAAGGAACAAAATTCTTAAGGTGGAAATCAAGGTTTCRTATGAGAACAAAATAATAAACAGCTTGGTTATGCCATCATTTTGGTTCACTCTGGGCTCTTAAAAAGCATGTTGGGAAGAATGYCTAGGTGAGCCGTGGTTCTTCAGCACTGAGCTGGAGGCCAGGGCARCAGGACCAGGGTCACAGTCTGTGCTTGGGCCCGTCACAGTTCCTGCTGCATGTGTCCTCTGCCACCACCTCTGCTGGAGGAGGAGGACACGCAGCCAGCTCCCACCAGACCAACATTGACTAGTGAGCAGGGAGTCTTCACCATATTAAACAGAAAGCAACAACCTGCCAGGGCCAGGCTGCCACCCCAGCATCCTCTCASCTTCTTGGACTCTTACAACACCAACTGCTTGCTGAAGCAAGCTGCTTGCCTCACTTCTTTTCACTGAGCAAAATAATAATGATTTGTCATTACTTTATTGTTATCATTCATTGCAATATYATATTCACTATACTCACTTGAACGGGATTGGATCCAGTACTGACCCCTGGAGGACACCATTAGCTACAGTCCTCCTTCTAGACTCTGCTCCAACCCTTTGAAATCTGTTTCTGTCCTCTACTGGTAAGTGTTTTTGTGAGTTAGCTCTGCATTGCAGTTGCTGTTTGGCTTCACCTATACCACCTCTACAAATTTATTTTCAGGTGGATTTGAGATGCATACATGTAGGATACATAGATTTTGATGACTCAGTCGGGGGGCTTTTATTCCTAATGCTTATACAGACATTTGAGCAGACATACATCTATCACACCCACATAAGGACAATCTTCATCATACAAGAACATTCCCCTAAGAGGTCAGTCTGCACTCGAGTGAGCTGCTTAAATGTCAGTGCAATCTGAGGACACTAWCAGGCCTTCACTGCCATGATCAGCCTCACCTGGCATCTCCATGCCCTCACTGATCCAAGGGCTCCATTTCAGCCCAGGCCTGGACCTTTGGTCCTTGCTAGAGCCACATCATAGGTATTTCTGTGCCCAGCCCTGTTGTCCCCTGTCCTGGATTAGTCACTACTTTTGTGGATGAACTCTTCACCTATAATGTARGTAGTCTTGTCTTCAGTCCTGTTCACTGGATCAGTCTTCTCATAGTCTTGTTTCCAACCCATCTGCAGCTGTATGCAAGTGAACAGTGACCTGGATGGACATTGTATCAGACTAATCACCTCACTTTACCTGGTAGACCCYGGCAGGATCTGGTGGAGCCTGTCACTATCAGCATCCTGATCCTGCTCAGGTCCTGTAGGACCTCACCCTGGTCAGCAAGGATGCTGCTCCTGCCTGTGCTGCAATTGTCCTCAGCTCCAGCTCATCCTCCCCAGAGTGGGGTACTCCCACTCTTAATGTTCCCTGACCCTGAATACCACATATAAATTTCGGAAAATGTAAAAATACCCTCACCAACCAGAAGATTATATAGGAAATAATTAATTATACTGTGCACCGAATGTTTCACTAAATATTCCAAGAATGTTACCATTCCATCAACATATGAAAAACTCCCAATCACCCCAGATGAACGGTAAAAATACACTTATGCAGAATGAGAACTACCAAATGAAAAGTGATAATACCAAAGCAATAAATGCAAAAATTCCGAACCTTGGTAAAAGGCCCACACTACTTTTACCTACCTCTTAGTTTCTGCTAACTCGTCAGTCCTCTCCAGGAGTTACCTACCTGCCTCTAACTCTGTTTCACAAGTCTAGGGGTTTTCTTTGTCCCGCATATTTTAGCAACACTTTTTCCCAGTTTTCCSACAGCCAGACAAGTGACTCAGATTTTACTCAGAGCCATGCTATTAACAAGAAGATTTTAAGTGTCCTGAAAAACGGTGGATGTTTTCATGCAGTTTTCTGAGCCTTTGTTTGTTCATATTCAATACTCCCAGTGCTTCACCTGTTTACACTGGTGCTTGCATCCACGTTTAATTCCTGTTCCAGCCCCACCCCCGCCGCATATTGTGGTAGTGCCCTCGGGCAGCCCCAGGCCGGCCGAGCCCCGCAGCGGAGGCGGCTCCGGGGCAGCGAGGGCGGCGCCAGGAGGGAGGCGGCCCGAGCCCCGCGCGCGCCAGCGCCGCCGCCAGGGGGCGCGAGCGAGCGGCCCTGAGCGCGGCCCCGCGGCCGAGCTCCCCTCACGGTCATCACCTCAGCGAGGAATCAGCCGCAGCCGTGGTGTGTAGCCGGGACAGGGATCAGCCTGTGGGGACACAGACTGAGATGGCATTCGTGCATGCAGCGGCCCAGGTCTCTGGCTATGGAGAGTGCCTCAGCCTCTCGGTGTAACTGGGGGGGGTAGCAGGGGCAACACCAGCATTAGGTGTGAACAGGTAGGAGACACAGGTAGTCAATGAACTGCTTAGCCTGGTGGCATCACTGAAGGAGGAGGCAGAAAGGCTTATGGCCATCAAAGGGTGTGAGAAAGAGATGGTTCGGTGGAGTTGCACCCTCCAGTCATCTCAAGATGTGCATTAGGGGAACACTTCAAATCCACCTGAGGATCCTCTGCCCGCTTGCTGTAGGGCAGAGGTGGCAGAATTAAGAAGCAAGGAGAACAGAAACAGGTCCCTGCTCTGTGTGGCATGAGGGTTCCTTCGCAGCCCACCTCACCTCTCCAGGTGTCCATGCACTATAGGAACTCAAGGGACAGCCAAATGAGGGCACAGACCAAGGTCCATGTAGGAGCTTGTCTGAGGCAATGCAGTCAAGCCCATGCCTTAAGGCTGCCTCCACTCAAAAGAAAAGAAGAATAGCTGTTGTGATTCCCTTCTAAGGGGAACCGAGGGCCCAATTTGCTGACCAGATCCTTCCCACAGAAAGGTCTCATGTCTCTCTGGGGCCGGGGTAAGGGGCATTGCAAAAAGGCTCCCAGGTCATATATGGCCCTCAGACTACTACCTGTTATTGCTTTTGCGAGTTATTAGCAATGAAGTTCCAAGAGAACCTTGAAGTCCATCTAAAGGGACTTCAAGGCTTTGGAAAGATGAGTTAAGAGAGCGGGAGTGCAGGTGGCATTCTCTTGTATTCCCTCGGTGTTAAGGAAGGACACTGAGAGGACCRTGAAAAGCCACCAGCTTAACAGATGGCTAAGCGGCGGTTGAATTTGGGGGTTTTTGACCGTGGGGCAGTCTTTATGGCACTGGCCCTCCTGGCAAGAGATGGAATTCACTTGTCTTTTAGGGAGAAAAGAATCCTTGCCCAGGAGTCGGCAGGGCTCATTAAGAGGGCTTTACATTAGGTAAGAAGAGGGAGGGGGATAAAATCAGGATTGCTAAGGATGAGCATAGGGGCAGCATGTCACAGTTGGAGGGAGAGCTCAACAGTCCAGCTAAAGTACCTCTACACCAATGCACAGCAGCATGGGCAACAAACAGGAGAAGCTTGAGGCCATGGTGCATCAGAAAATTGTGACATAGCTACTACCACTGAAATGTTTTGGGACCACTGATGTGACTGGASTGCTACAATGAATGGCCACAGGCTCTTCAGAAGGGACAGCCAATGAAGGAAAGGAGGTGGGGTAGTGCTCTATGTTAGGGAGTCCTTCAAGTGAATGGAGCTCAAAGTAGGTGATAGAAAAGCCAAGTGTTTATGATTCAGGATCAGGGGGAAGGCCAACAAGGCTAATACCCTTGTGGGAGACTGCTATAGACCACCCAACTAGAATGAAGAAACAGATGAGGCATTCTTCAAGCAGCTGGCAGAAGTATCACGATCAGCAGCCCTTGTTCTTGTGGGAGGCTTTAAGAAGTCTACCAGAGGTTTGTTGGAAATACATATACAAGACCAGCCTGGCTGAATAGTCAACTATTGCTGAAATTACAAGAAAAGGAAAAAAAAAAAAAAAAAAAAAAAAAAAAAAAGGAGGGTTTATCACCTTTGGAAGAAGGGCAGGCAACTTGGGAAGAGTGCAAGGTTATCACTGGGAATAAAAGGAAGGTAGAGAAGAAATTAAAAAGGTGAAAGCTCAGATGGAACTCAATCTGACCACTTCTGTAAAAGACAAAAAAAAAATGTTTCTACAAATGCAGTAACAAGAGGAGGAGGGCCAAGGAGAATCTCCATCTTTTATTGGGCATCAGGGAAGATACTCATCAAGGATGAGGATAAGACTGTGATACTTAATACCTTCTTTGCCTCAGTCTTCAACACCCAGATCAGTTATCCTCAAGATACTGAGCCCCTGAACTGGATATACCTACAAAGAGGAGAAGAAACCCCTCATAATTCAGGAGGAAACAGCGACCTGCTACTCCACTTGGGCACCCAAAAGTCTAGGGRGCCAGATGGAATCCACTCAAGGGSTCTGAGGGAGATGGCAGAAGTACTTGCCAAGCTGCTCTCCATAATCTATCAACAATCTTGATCAACAGGCAAAGATCCCAGATGACTGGAGACGGTAGCCAGTGTGACACCCATCTACRAGAAGGACTGGATGGAGGATCTGGGAATCAGGAAGTTATGGAGCAGATCATTTTGAGGGCAACCACATAGCATGTGTGTGACAACCAGCAGATCAGGCCCAGCCAACACGGACTCATGAAAAGCAGGTCCTGCCTCACGAACCTGATCTCCTACAACCAAGTGACCCACCTAGTGGATGAGGAAAAGCCTGTGGATGTGGTCTACTTAGACTTCAGTAAGGCCTTTAACATAGGCTCCCATTGAGTTCTCCTGCAGAAGCTGGCAGCTCACAGCTTCAACAGATATACTCTTTGTYGGGTGAAGAACTGACTGGATAGCAAGGCCCAGAGACTGGTGGTGAATGAAGTTAAATCCAGCTGGTGACCCATCATGAGTAGAGTTCCACAGGGTCAGTGTTGGAGCTGGTCCTCTTTAATATCTTTATCAACAATCTGGATGAGGATATTGAATGCACCCTTAGCAAATTTGCAGATGACGCCAAGCTGGGAGGAAGAGTTGATCTGCTTGAGGGTAGGAAGGCTCTGCAGAGGGTTCTGGACAGGCTGGGTTGATGGACTGAGGCCACCCTGTGAGATTCAACAAGGCCAAGTGCTGRGTCCTGCATTTCAGTCACAACGACCCCATGCAACACTACAGGCTTGGGCAAAGTGGCTGGAGAGCTATGTGGCAGAAAAGGATCTGGGGGTGTTAGTTGACAGCTGCCTGAGCAGGAGCCAGCAGTGTGTCCAGGTGGCCAAGACAGCCTCCTGGCTTGTAACAGCAACAGTGTAGCCAGCAGGATGAGGGAAGAGATYGTCCCTCTGTGCTGGTGAGGCTGCGCTTCAAATACTGTGTTCAGCCTCGGGCTCCTCACTGCAGGAAAGACATGGARTTGCTGCAGAAGGGCAATGAAGCTGGTGAARGGGCTGGAGCACAGCCYTTATGAGGAGAGGCTGAGGGAGCTGGGGTTATTTAGTGGGGAGGAGAGGAGGCTCAGGGGAGACYTTACCGCTCTCTACAACTACCTGAAAGAAGGTTGTAGAGAGGCAGGGGTCCATCTCCAGAATACCTATGGATAGAATAAGAGCAAACAGCCTCAAGTTGCACCAGGGAGGTTCAGGTTAGATATTAGGGGAAAAAACATCTACACAGAAGGAGTGGTAAAGCATTGGAACAGGTTGTCCAGGAAAGTTGACTGGTCAGAGGAGTCACTGTCTCTGACGGTATTCAAGAAACGTGCAGATGAGGCACTTAGGGATATGCTTTAAGAGTTACGGTGTTTAGGGGCTTACGGCTGGACTCGATGATATTCATGGTCTTTTCCAACCGTAACGATTCTACAATGATTCCATAGCGCCCGTCACCTTTTCACGGCGCAGGCTGCTGTAAACGCGGGTTTCACCGGGGCACTCGGCGGCCGCCCCCGCGCAGGGCGCTGCGCCGTTGGGGCGGGCGGGACGGGGCCGCCCGCGCCGCGCGCCAGGGGCGG